GGGAAAGAGACCGCTCAGTGGGAAGCAGCCGCAGTCCTCGCCCAGTGGTGGGGATGAAAATTAGTTACGGCATCTACCAAGAGACCTAAAAGGAACTCCGTGCGCGGCGCGGCCAGGCAAGCACTTCGTGCAATGTTACGCGTTAAGGTACCCCCGTGCGTTGTTGGCAGTGCCCGGTTACGAAGCTCATCGTCGTCATTGTCGCCGTCGTTCTCGTCCCTGGTGTTCGACGTGTGACGGGCATCGACGTCACGCTACAAAAGAGTCGGTTCGGTGGGTGCGCGAAGCCACACACGTTATGGCTCATGGTGTGAGCGAGGTGCTCGGTGAGGGGAACTCGGTGAAAATGGTGCATCAAAAGCAGCAGCAACAACAGCAGTCAGTGGTGCATCAGCAGCAACAGACCAACGCGCGAAAATCCGTAGGTGTGATGGGCAGCAGACGCATATTCGCGCCGGCCTTTAAGCTCAAGGTTCTCGATTCCTATAGGAACGACATCGACTGTCGTGGTAATCAACGGGCAACCGCGAGAAAGTACGGGATTCATCGACGTCAAATACAAAAGTGGTTACAGTGCGAGGATAATCTGCGAAATAGTTGTGCCGAAAGTGGAAACACCGGTGTCGTCTCGACGACAGTGATTTCTTCCGCGGGTGTTTCCAAGCCGGACGGTACCGTGACGGAAGCCACGGGACCTGCCGTGACTCCAGCAGCGCCGGCCTTGAACCTCAGTCTCGCCAGACTGCACGGCGACGAGCTGGCTACACAGCAAGGGCCCCCACCTCTTCTTCCTCGTCCTCCTCATGGTGGTTCACCCTCTTCGCCCCAATATGTGACTCAATCCACCACGGTCCCCATGATGCCTGTACGCGTTGGATATCAAGAATATAATGCCAATCAGGAGCAACATCATCTTCGTCGAGAAACAGGGGACAATCGTGTACAGGTCGCAGATTCGGTTCACGGCTACTCGGAAACCCACGTTGAACAGGATCAGCAATCCAACAGATATTACGTTTTAAATACGGACGTACAACGGGAAATCGAAAGTTCGGTGCCGTATGACGGTCGAAACGAAGTGAAGGTATACCAAAACTTGACGAATTATCGTGTGCCTCCTCGCCGGGAACACCGATACAACGGGAATGAAGTAATTGGTGCGACGGTTCATCAGCATCGTTCACCGAGTCGTAATCGATCTCAGCAAAATTACGGGGACGTGGATTCTTCTATGGACGGGAAATCGTCGTACGGCTTGTTGTTAGCGCCGTCGATGATAAAGACTGAACGAGCGAGCCCAGACTCGGCGGCGACGCCAGGGCCGTGCGAATCGACGAGTTCTCCCGGTGTCTCCAGGATCCCACTCTCGCCCGTTTCGCATCATGCCAGCAGCAGCAGCAGCAGCAGCAGCAGTTCCACAACGTCCATTCACTTTGATTCCCCACGGACGTCCGCAAGTCCATGCTTGCACGTGCACGAACACGAACACGCACACGCGTCTCCGTTCCCGGATTCCGAGAAGCCAATCCAAGAGTCGAAGGAGACAACGGTCCATATCGGTGAGAACGTAACGGAGGAGACTACGGAAGAGATAGAAATTGGTAGGGCGGTGGTCAAGGAGGAACTGCATACCGAGGAGGAACAAGAGACGAACAACGAAGGAATTGATTATCAACGGCCATCTGCTGATTCGCGTCCGGTAAGCCCTGTACACGACCGAGAAGGTTATTCTTTGCCTTCGAGCCCTCGTGGGCCAACCAGTTCCGGGAGATCCAGCAGCAGTTGCTCGGACAGCGAAATGGATCCCCTCGACTGTTCTTCCGGTAGCCACAATTCGTCGAACGATCTCGCTCGACGACGATCTTTCTCCCTTCGATTCAAGCTGGACGTTCTCGATGCTTTTCACCGAGACATCGGTGTAGCTGGAAATCAACGCGCCACCGCGAGAAAATTCGGCATAAATCGTCGCCAGGTACAGAAATGGCTGGGCCAAGAAACAGAGCTCAGGGGCGAGATCGCGGTTCGCGGAAACTCGCGGCAACGGCTGGGCCCCATCCAGGATGTCGCTTCCGGTGAGTCACCGATGGATCTAAGGACGTCGAACTACGTTTCCAGCTTATCACACGATCGAATCGAAACGGAGTACGAACGATCGCCTCCGCCTCCTTACTGTTGCGACGTGGGTTCCTCCTCCTCGTATCTTCCGTACTACCACCATCCGATCGTCGTAGATCCATCTTCCGAAAGCGAACTCGCAAGTTCTTGCAATCTCTCTTGCTGTATGGACAGCCACGCAGCAACACCGGTGACTTCGTGTTACCAGGAAGTGTCCTTAAGAGGATCTTGCTACACGGAGCCGCGGAACAGGGTGTACTGTTATTCCCCTAGAGAGTATTCGTCCGAGATCGCCTCGACCGTTGCCGAGTCGGCGGAAGAATTTTCTTCGCCCTTAAAGCGACAACATTGCACCCTCTCCTGTTGCTACGAGGCGTTGCAATCACCGAAGAGGCTCTGCCTGGAATCGGAGGAGCCGGTAAGGGCGAGTTCCGCCTGCCAGGAAACACCACCTCAGGAAACGCCCCTTTGCCTGGTGAAACCAAAGAGGCTCGTCGACGTGTCTCCGTTGAGAACGGAACCGGTCACGAGCACAGTGCCAACACCACCGGCATCCGCCGTGCCTCCACCTGCGGGACCAACCTCCAAGAAGGACGCCATTCTATTCAAACCGTACCTGGACAATCCCGTGAGCAAACCGGCCAAGGAACCTACCGTCCAGAGGGAATTGTCGCCCGTCAGCAGCCAGAACATCGTTAACAACAACAACAACTGCCAAAGTATCTGCAACTTCAACGAAGGCAGGGGTCACGACTATGCTCTCGAGCTCAGTTTAAAACTGCCGGTATCCTGGGGAACTCATCCGAGCCCATACACCGAGTTCCCACAGGTTAGGAGCGCGTTCATTAGGTATCCAGCAAGTCCTCATTACAGCTAATTCGCGAAAACATTTACGACCCTCGACTCGACGGAATAGGGGCGACGTTCTTAATCGGATTATTTCGCTCTTCGATATTTCCTGATACGCTGAGGAAGATGTACGTATATACGTCCGATGTCTTTCCATCGCGAGTACAGTGAAATCGATTTTTAACGGGAGAAATTTTTTCATACGATATAAAATCACAGAAAAATATAATTGATATACGTATATGAAAGATTTTAAACGAGTAGGAGTCGAAGTTTTATATTTTTAGAGTTTATGGAATTGATTGTTCGGTACTCGTTCCGGAAAAAGGATTCTTCGAAAGGATTCACAGACGAAGGATCGATTGGTACGTGATCTACGACACGTCGTACCGCCACGCAAGCGTTTATCATATCCACGGTTCGTCGGTGCCGCGTATACATCGCGATAAAGTCTTAATCGGCCATTGGACGATTCGAGGTGCGGTAGGAGATTATACATGGTCGTGTCCGCGGTTGGCATCCTCTTCTAACTTTTTCAGACTTTGCATTACCCCCTCCCCCCCCTCTCGTTCTCGTATTCCCCTCGGAAATCCTTTTCAGATATCCGACGAGACTTTTTCGCGATGGTTTATCGTTGAGATTAGCGTTCAGTGGCTATCGGCTAGGCCGTTTAGAGGTCGCCTGGGTTTGCTATAATTACAGAATTATGTCAGTCTCGGCAGGAGATAACGATCGCGAGGAAAAACTCCCTCGTGAACCAAGTTTCTCGCGACGTTGTTACGCAACTATCGGACGGTACCGTTTCCACGATTTTCAACCAATTACTTACACAATTCGGGGAATACTTGATTGGTGTCAAAGTCTATACGCGAATCGATTGTCTTCGTCCGTGAGAAACAAGTGCATAGTACATACTCGTTTTTCGTGTCGTTTTACCTTCACGATTCCGGCCCCGTCGCGTCGGTCGATTGGTCGATTGATCGATTGGTCGACTGGTCGATTTCTCGGTAGTCACATCGCGTTACCGTACGTTTTCCACGAACGCTCGTCGTTTTTCTTATTCCGCCTCCGTCGAGGATCGATCTTAGATATCGTTTAATTGCTCAAAGAATTTCTTCCATGCGCGCACCTGTGCTGCACGCACGATGCGCAAGTATTACGACAGGGTTCCGTCTCCGTTTTCTTTTCTCTCGTTATTCTCTCCTTCTCTACGCCCCCCTCGCACCCTGCATCGCTCCTCGGTTAGCTAGTTCACGGCTTTTCCTATTCGTTTCTTTCCTGCCTGTTGAATCGATAGTCTGTAAATATGTAAATACGCGGCGAGGAATCGACCGATCAGCGATTACGGAGCTGTAAGACAGCATAGAAGGATCGAATCGATTGCCATATACATGAGAATTCTCAGAATCGAATCGATGACTGTGTGTTCGCAATGAATATTTCGAGTAGCTTATGGAAATCGGTTCGATGTTCACGCTTGGAACGCGCTCGGAACGGAGCAGGAAGGAAGGGAACGAACGTAGGGTATACATACATACATAGGTACATATATATATATACTTGTGAGAAGAATCACTTCGGCGTGCCTTTATTTCTGCCGGTCCACGAACAATCGCGCGGAAACTTACTCGTAGACTTACTTGTAAATAAACGAATATATTTTGTCTATGAAACGGTTCATTTGCGAAAGGCTGATCCTGGCTGGAGATTTTCTAATAAAAACAAATAAAATAAAAGACACACGAACACGTGAACACTTCGAGAAACTCACGTGCCTTATACGATATTCGTAACAGGGGCATGCTTTCCCTAAGTTGAAGATCTTAAATTAAGGTCGTCAAATTAAAGGGGATTCAAGCCCCGACAGAAAATACATAATTTAAACTATATTAAGGACTCAATGCCGTAGAATAGTATTTCTGGACTCTCGGCGTGCAACCGTTAATTCCTTCGGCCGCGAAACGAACGACGAAATCCCGATTGTTCGTTGTAAATTATTATTCCTAGATCGTCGTCTATTTTCTGTGTATCGTCGTTCCTCGGGGTTTCCGCATTACATTACATATCATCGTATTCCGGCCGGTTCGCTGGCGCGCTCCGATTCTCGAGGCGATAAACGCGGTCTCTTTTTTCATCGTCGAACGACCTTCGGTGTCATCGCGTCGCGAAGAAAATTTCCGAATCAATGCGCGATCAGTTGGCGCTTACGAAACTCGGAAAATACCACGATACCTAGTTACATACTAGGAAACGGGAACCGACCGCTATCGCTGGATCGATTAGAAACAGACGATCATCGCCGTGGACGTTTACGGACGTGACTGGCGACGATCCGTCTGCGACGCGGAAAAGGGTGAAATGGTCCCCGTCGGAAACAGAAAATAGCCTTCCGCGAATCTTGTACGAGCGGACGGGCGGGTAATTGAATGCAAACCGTGCTTGGCGGCAAAGAAGGGCAATTTTGTAAATGACCGTCGCAGACGAACCGGTTACGTCAATGTTTCAATATTCAGGCTCAATCGAGCTAGTTTCGAGCACGAACGATCCTATGCCGTTACGAGAGGCCGTCGTTGCCGTCAACGCCGCAGTATTATCATCGTCGAGCGAAATGCGTTCCGTCGTTGATCGTCGCGTCGCACGAGTCAACGATATTTACCAGAACGGTGTTCGTCGAGGAGAAAAGAGATCGAGTAACTGGGTATCGGTATCGTCGCGCGAATCCCGAATAAAGAAACATATCAGAACAGGCCTCGAGAATCGAGAAAGGTACGGCAGAGGAGAGGAAACCGTATTTACAGCCTTGTCCGACACGCTCGTCGATAGGGTCAAGGCGGCAATGTACAATAAAATGTAGCGTATTCGTAAGCCATAATGAATTGCATAATGCCATAACGTTTTACATAATGAACGAACCGACGGTGGTGTCGAACCGACTGACGAAAGAAAGGAGCGTGTGTGTTCGATAACGCGAGGAGTATATTAATGTGTGCGTGCGTGGCTGCGTGCGTGATTGCGTGTGTTCCCTGTGTGCACAGCCCACAAGAGTCTATTAAACGAGGCATAGAGCATATATAAGCAATATATATTTTTTAAGTGCATGAAAGTGTGCGAACGGAGCGACGAGTGGATCCGTGGTAGGGTTAAACTTTCGTGGGCGAGCCCCCACGTTTTCAAGTCTTGTACACATGCAAGTAGGTAGCGTGTACGTACAGTGGGCACACACACATACACACAGACACAACACGTATAATGTCATAAGCATAATGTTCGTGTCGTATGTGTATCTATATATATATATTAAAATATTATATTTTAATACGATCGCGTTATATACCGACGAAGCGCCTCTTAACTCGCCCGGTGCCTTTTAGATCGCCCGTGCCTTAGAATTTCGAGCGAGGAAGAATCCAGACCAAAGTGTCTCGCGTCCTCGGTACGAGACACGGTATAATGTTTTATATCGCGTCCTCCGACGGCGAACAAGCGTTCCCCGCTGATCTCTCGGCAAGGATACGTCCCGCGACAGAGAACACCGGTGATTCGTTGAAATGTTTAATCATAATGATAATCAGTATTGAAATTTATTCAGTTTATTTATTGGTCGACGTTCCGGCCGTCTTTCCGAGTGACAACAACGCTATATATTTTGCTCTATCCGTCGAATAAACGATCGAAAGAAAGTAAATTTGTTACACACATTTTTCTTTATTTTCCTATTTCCTCTTTAGTTACACCCTCTCTCTCTCTCTCTCTCTCTCTCCTTCTTTATTTCCTTCTCTCTCTAACCGTCCATCGGTAGGATACCTGTACATCATCGATCCTTCAGATCACATTTTTCTTTATTTTCCTATTTCCTCTTTAGTTACACCCTCTCTCTCTCTCTCTCTCTCTCCTTCTTTATTCCCTTCTCTCTCTAACCGTCCATCGGTAGGATACCTGTACATCATCGATCCTTCAGGAGGGACGGTAAATTTTGCGCCGGTTTCGAGGGTTTGTCAGTGAGAGTTCCTTCGTCGAAGGGGGCGGTTCGCAGTGTGATAATCGAAAGATCAGCTTATCTATTTTTCTTTTCCGTACGGGTGTGCCTCTCTGGCGGCGAGTGCAATCGCTAGCGAAAACAATGATATTGTTATTTGAGTCTATCGTGTTCGAGACACGATTCCATGTTCGCGGGAAAATTCGACCGATTGCCGCGACCGTGTCCGTTATTGTGATTCGTCGGGAGAAAGAATGAGAGGGCGAGACTGAACCACGCTGCATACGACAGAGATCGAGTGATCGATCGATTCGAATGTACGGCAAGACAGGCATCATCGAAGCGTTGTTTATTTTGTACACACGGAGAAATAAGTATCAATTGTACTAAATATTGTATTATATACATACACGCATAGATTTATATGATATAGAAGTTTAACGAATTTCAGAGAAAATATAAGAGACTATTTTAAAAGAAATTTTCGTCTCGTCATTCCCGTCGCTCAGCCTCGCGCACGTAGTTTCCCCTTCTGCTCATTGTTTTCGGATAACTAGAGGCGGAGCGCGCAGTCCCCGAAAACGCGTGCACGCAATGTAATCCGAGGCAACGTATGCCCGAGATAACAGAAAAGTCTGATTATTCCAAGGAAGTTGATACAGTCGCAAACGAAGGTGCATACAATCCTCCAGGAATTGTTTTCCGCGAGGCGGTGTAGGTAAGTAAACACACAAGTGCATTTCAAGTTTCCTCGATTCGAATCTCCCTTTACTCGCAGAACTATCGCGTAATCCAGCAATTTGCTTAACGGGGCGAGAGAACGGCGATGGATTACAATATTTATTGGACAATCGCAACTTTTACCCTTAAGCCGGCCAGCAATTCCCGTAATGGTAATAGCAGGAATAAAGTATCAATTCAGCCGTTCGAGCGCTAAGCTTTCGCCGTTGTGCTTGAAAGTTCATACGATAAAAATGTATATCCGTATCATCCTAGGCATTGTCTACAAGTGCCTTTTCTTTTTTAACCGAAGCTAACTTTTAATCTTATCTCGTGAAATGTCTCACCGATGTGAGTACCTGTCGGATGTTAAAACCTAGGGATCAGAGGGCCTAAAAAAACTCTTCGAACACTATCGAATATCGGCGTGATTCCGTTCGATGATCCATAAAACACAGTTTTACCGGTGCTTCCATTTCAGTCCAGATTAATTCAATTAGTTCTCCTTCTTGTCTGAATAATTTCATGGTATGTATATCCGACGGAGGATTCGAGTCATGCCAGAGATAAGAAGAATATAACACACAGTGACTCGTGCACTGAAAGCAGTCACGTCGATGTGACCGACGCATTGTTTCCGTTATCGCGGCCGATTGGCAGTGGCCGCGGATCGACGATCGTGCACGTACTCGCTAAACTTTCTAAGCACGCAATCGTTCGCCGCTTGCCCAGCAGTTGCTCACCGTCGACCAGCGATGCACTTGTGTCGATAAATGACGTAAATGTTCTTTTTACGATCAAGCTGTCCCTTGTCAGTCGCGATTCGCGACGAACGCTCCGCCACGAGGATCCGTAGCCCCCCGCGCCCCTACTTTTGCAAGCGGACGAAGTCCCCTCGGTTTCGTTGAGCACCGGAACGCGGGGAACAGCGTCTGAATGTGAACGAAATGAATTGCAATTTCTGCCGTACGTTTTTCACGAAGAATGCGCCGCGTACGGTTCCACACACGTGCGTATGATGTAACATATCCTTATGGGCCCTCAGGCCATGCGATATGGATATTGGGTAACCAATTGAATAGTAATGAGCGACGATTGATCTGACAGTAATTTGCAAAGATATGTAGCGTCATTGACAATAATGAAGTTATAAGCATTGATTTCTTTCATAAACACCAATGATGCTTTTGCGATGCATGTCTATGCCCGTACGTTCAGAGGGCTGTGTTAATTATTGGGTTTAAGAAGGGCCCACTTTGGGGGCTACACACACACACACACACACACACTGAGAGAGTGATGCCACCGTACGTTACAGGAATCAAAGTTATCGACCGCGAAACTGTAGTTAAACTGATTTACCGATGCTATATTACAGCTCGATGAGAATTTCATATTTTCGAACTGTCGAATGAATACAAAAACGTTTGAAAATAATAAAAAGTAGGTAATATGTGCGATTTTATTACTTTTCTCTTGGTCGATATTGTTTGTAGCAGAACAGAAATTCAAGTTCAGACGGTCATCGAAAGTTCCCTACGTTAAACGACCATAGGAACGCTATCCGTTTTCATTGAGGCCATCGCATACGCGCAAAACAGACCTTGAATCGAAGTATGACTGATGCAACGCATCAATCAACGCCAATAAATGTCACCGACTGGTGCAATGCAATTAGGAAGGGTGCAGTGGCACGTACAAGCAAAAATCCACACTAATGCTGACTCTCGAGGAATGCGTGCATCGTCGATGCTCAGAACCACGCTTCAGCCGCGACCAAAACTCCTTTCCATTGAGAATCAATTTTAACGATCGTATCCTACATGATAATGTCCTGCGAACACCGCGTTAAATCGTTTCGTATTCAAGAATAACCATTGTCTGCGTCGAATGAAAAAACATACGACAGAATTCCCCGTGTCTGGCGTTCTCAACCGGAAATCCGAAAAGGATACCACAAAGTTTCTGGCTCGATTCCAATAACCGAATAGCGTGACTTCTGTTTGCGAGTCGAAGATCAGCGTAGCCACAAAGTCTCGAGTTTCGTTGATTGTTCACGCTGTGTGCCTTTTTTCTTGTCCACCCTTCGATATCTAACGAATAGTGATTACAAGTTTCCAAGAATATTACAGATGTACGTACTCTCTGGTCGGACGTCGAACGAGAAAGTTTCAAAAACTTCAAAACAACATAATCAACCGCCATCGGTATATCGCATGAATTAATTATACACCTGTTAAGATTAATTATAGGTAAGACAGCTTCGAAATTCTCAAGTATCGCACGTTCGACACTTAAGGGGTCTAATTATAAGACACCAACACTACGCTCAGCGAAGAAAGGGGATAGGGGACACGTGTTCCCATAGTCGCGTAGCAAACAGAAGGAATAAGAAAGCTGAGAGTAATCCTCGAAACAGCGGGAAAATCAGTGTTTACTGCGTTGCAAAAGTCCAGCCAGAATTTATTTTTACCCTAGACGAGCACCGTGACCCCTTCCCTTCAACGTTTCCTCCTTGACGTCGACCGACGAAGTCTTTTTTTCTTCGCCGTCTTTTGCCCCGTCCTCTATCCGTTGCTGTCGTTTTGGGGAACACAGAGCGTTAATCTTCCTCGGCTGACGGTTTTGCCGGCTCGGCGAGCAAAGGAATCTTTACGACGATCGAAGGTCGCCCGATCGTGGACTATAATCAGCCGGAGAGATTGTTTTAGTTTGTAAAACGATACTGGCGTTTCTGGTTACAGGTTCTGCAGTCAGAGCACGCTGGAAATCGTAGCTGTAAATGACGGAGCGTTATGAATCGCCTGAAGTGACCATTGCACTGACCAAAGAGGAGATTCACAATAGATACCAAGACACAGCCCTGGTTATACATAAAGTAAGTAATCATTTGTTCGTAAGAACGGTGTTTTAACTGGATCGATTTAAATGTGAAAACGTTTTATTAATTGTATCTGGATACTCAAAAATTGTTCCGGTACACAGATTGTACTTTAAAAAACTACCCTGCACGCGATTATAAAAATTGTCCACTGACTATGTTTGATTTGAGACCGAAGGACTCGTAATCCCCTTTCTTACAGGACCAACAAGATAAAAAAGAAGTCGTTAGTTATTTAACATTTGGATCCAGCCGTAGAACCATGGAATACAGTAGCTACGGGAACCAACCTGTTATCGTGAGAAGACCGGTCGGATCTCTATCGGTTCAAAGTACCAGGGACTTCTCTTCGCAAATGTTGAGGATATATCGAAAGCCTCGGGACAGTTGTGTAATTAATTAATATTTCACCTCAAATGCTGTACGCTGTTGTTAATTAAACGTTCGTATCATTTACAGGTATTGATGTTTTATTGTTTAGTATTCTCGATAGTCTTCATTCCTGTAGTTCTCTTCTTCTTATCGACAGATTCTAATTCTGCCGGTCTATTAACTATTTTTCTAATATCGATTACAATCTTGATCGGTATGTTTATATACATAAACGCGTGTTTAAATATTTATACAACTATATTTATACAATATATTTTCTTCCGAGTACACTCTTGTGAATCGAATTACTATTCGTTCAATCCTTAGCAAATGTGGTCCGACATTGAGCGAATTCCCGTATAGCTCCACCACTACGATTAAGGTAAAACTCGAAACAACACTTTACGGTGTCCATATCTGTTCATGTGCGTTACGAGAACATAAACAACAATAATAGCGAAATGCTTCATTATATGTTTCGAATAAAATTCAAGCGACGTATTCGACTTCGTGTAAAATAAATACGTGACAAAAGATGCGGATAATAACAAGATCCGCAACATACGGATCAAGGTCGGGGCACCATTTAATTTCCACAAGAAGAAACAGCATCAAACTCTTGTTTTACTGAATTATTGCAGGTAATCCTTCCCCTGACTGCTTCAATATAGGTTATGATATCACAACTAAATGTAAGAAATTGTCAGGATAACTCAAGTGCTCTGACATCCACTGAAGTGGGGTCTCCAAGGGTGGAACAATACCATGCGTTAGTACTGTAACTATAAGAAAAATGAGATGAACATATACTGTTACTATTACCTACAAGTTATAAAAGAAACAGATATATTTACCATTCTCTTGGTCTGGAAAAGTCTCGTTTAATAAATGCCTCAGTGTTTTCCTCTGACCTTCTTCATTCACAGGCTTCACCAGTTTTTGTATGTATTTATCCTCACTTGTGTAACAACGAAAGGGTATGTATTTGAAACCCTCTTCACTGTTGATTGCTTCCATGAGTTTTCTATTTACAGACCAAAACTGATCAAACTTGTCATTAAGCAAGCCAGACCATAGTTGATTGTGATCTTTCTTTTGCATACTAGACATGACTTGACCTCTGTGTTTCAATACATCAGCTTCTTTCACACAGGAAAGGAAATAAGACTCAACCACCTCTCTAAAAATTCATCCCAATGAGCTCAAGTTTATTAATAATAATAAACATAGCGAATTCAAGATCTGCCGTGCATACTTGTTTTGACAATGCATCAGGACATTTTCTGGAAACCTCTCAAAGTGAACAACTATGTTCCAAGGTAGTTGAATATCATTGGAATAAATATCCAACAGAACACCAATAGGATAGTGCCACTTTAATGGAATTCCATTAAATTCTAGCCACATCTCATGTTCCTGTTTATTGTCGCTTTGTACATGGCGTATAAAATGTTTTCGTACCTAATTAGCGAAATACACAAATACAGTCAACGTAAAATCGAATATTAACGGATTATCGTTATTTACCTTGTCTGTGCAAAGAGGAAAATAACTTAACCTAGGTACCATAAGATAAAATGGATCAGGTCCTTGCAGTTCGCAAATTTCCTCGGAATCAAGTGTAAAACAAACGGGAATTTTCCCGTCCCAAATCTCTCTAAGCACCTCCCTGTCATTCGCCATTGTGCGTACGATGACGGATAATATTTGTTTTAATTCATCCGTGCCCCCGCTTCCAATTGGGCGTCAGACAGAAACAGGTTATATTTTTCGTCTGCTACAAAAATGTTCTACCAGAGAGGAAATGAGATTGCTAACGCCAGGGGTTTCGATGTCCCACAGTACAAGTGCTGCGCCAAGCGGCCAATTGTGGCGCTTGTGGTCCAACTTCTCATAGATAAGAACCCATGGTCCATCTTTTCTTAGCATGAACAAGAACCTATCGTGGTCCATCTTAGCATAGACAAGAAACTATCTTGGTCCAACCACCGACTAGGTATGAAATAGACCTATCATCCAATGCTTTTTTCTGTCCCACGTTCACAGGGCTACGTAACCCTGTTACCATTTTACACAAATTCAATGAAATACCCAGTTTAGGGCTATGAAATTAGAATGTTCAAGAAAAGGTAAAGAAGTTTCATATTATTCCCATTCATTACAATTTCCCTTGCGGGAATGCCTTACCGTAATGAGCCATCACGTGGCCGCGGGATTCCGGGAATCGGGTGACGTCACGGCATGCGAGCGAGAGCGGTTGAGCGAGCCGCGCTATCGGTGCTCTCCGTCGGTGTCGACGCGTACCGAACGATGCCGAAAATGGTCGAAGCGGGCGAACGGGAAAGAGCGAGAGCGGTACAGCGAGCCGCGGTATCGGTACTCTCCGTCGGTGTTGACGCGTGCCAAGGAATTTCAGGGGTCTATGGGGGGAGGTGTGCGAGCGAGAGAGTACGGTAGAGCGTGCCGAGTATCGGTGCTCTCCGTCGATCCAACGCGCTAGTGAGTTGCGTCACCCAGTTTATTGACTTAGCCGTGTACGCCGTGTACCAAGGTCGTACCATCCCGTGCAGGTCTGTGCTTGCTTC